TTCTATTTTTGTTTTCTGCTCTCCTATTTTGATGTAAAAGGCAAATGTCATAGTTCATTCGTCTTGATTCCAAATATCTGAAATTGCAGAAAGGAAGTCAAGGGTGGAAGAAAGGAGAAGGCGGGAAGATTCCAGAGACCTCTGACTGCTGTGGGGGACGGGGGTTGGGGGGACTGTGTTCTAACAGAAGAAAATCAGGGAGAGAGGAGCAAATAAAAAAGGAAAAGAAGGAAGGAAGACATGAGAGGGAAGAGAGAATAAAAATGAAAAAGGAAGATAGTGGATTCGATTTTATTCAAGGAATTTGTCTAGGAACTTTCCATACAAAGCATGAGAGGGTTGCTCAGAGCTGATTAAGACCCAACCCCCTGCTTTCAAGGAGCTCACAGTCCATCTGAGGAGGAGAACTGGACAACAAACTAACTACAGTATAAAACAGGGTTAAAGGGCTGCAGGCAAGGCTCAGTGGGAACAGAGAGAAATGACCAGTTGATTTTTTCATAGGTATATAATTTTATTTAGCAGCATTTAAAAATTGAAATATAGTTGATTTACAGTAGTGTGTTAGTTTCAGGTACACAGCAAAGTGATTCAGTTTTATATATATATATTTTTTTCAGATTATTTTCCATTATAGTTTATTGTGTGTGTGTGTATGTGTGTGTGTGTGTGTGTGTGTGTGAAAGTCACGCGGTCATGTCTGACTCTTTGCAATCCCATGGATTGTAGCCCTTTAATCTACAGGTTCCTCTGTCCATGGAATTCTCCAAGCAAGAATACTGGAGTGGGTAGCCATTCCCTTCTCCAGGGAATCTTCCCAGCCCAGGGCCTGAACCCAGGTCTCCTGCATTGCAGGCAGATTCTTTACTCTCTGAACTACAAGATTAAAGTTTTGACCTGAGGTCATGAGGGAGCTCCCTGGAGCTGGTGGCATTTGCCTGGGCCTTAGGAGCAGGTAGAAGGAATATTCCTGCTTCCTATGTAGCACTCTCCCCAGCCTACGTCTGTAACCCCAGGTCTCTGAAAGAACAGAACTCTTGACCCTACACATCTTTAGTATTTAGAAATGTGACTTCCAAGTGCCCAGCAATGGTTATCACTGATCTGAAGGTAAGTTTCTACTTGTCCACAGCAAAATGAGGCTGAGACGAACTAGGATTTTTTCATAAGTAAATTATATTTAATTTAAAGGACTGCCTTTTATTATGAGGCTAGTTCCTTTCTAATTTTTGATGGCAAAAATGCCCTGTCTTGTTAATGAAATAATCCTGACAGAAGATTGTGTATGGGGGGGTGGGGGTTGTATTCTGTTTGGTGGTTTGGCTTAAATATTTTTACTTGGTAAATTAAGAGTTGGCCAAATGGCATTGCTCTCTGAGATTTTTCTGATCTCCAGCCATTCTGGCCTGGAGTAGGAAATGGCAACCCACTACAGCATTCTTGCCTGGAAAATTCCGTGGACAGAGGAGCCTGGCGGGCTACAGTCCTTGGGGTCGCAAAGAGTGGGACATGACTGAGTGCGCGTGCACACACGCGCGCACACACACACACACCCATTCCAGAGTCAGAAATACTAGCCTCGGATGTTACACTGCATCCACACAGGCAAGCAGATCCTCCCCAGTCCTTTTCCCTCCAGGACTCTGGGTGCTCCTTCATACATAAGGGAGGCTGCCATCTTCTTTCCAGACTCTGTTGCCTTTCTCCTCTCCCATGTTCGGGTATGGAATCATTCACCTTCCACCGTCTCCTTAGAGAGGACGTGATGAACTGACTTATGCTTTAGCAGTAATGAGAGATATCACATTAATACACTTTCTCCAGGGGCCTTCACATTTTAGTGGAGTATTAAAACTTAATTCAAACCAATGAATTGTAATGGTGGAATTTTAAACCCTTTCACAGGGGCAATGGAAAAGAGGCTATTTTTAAATAAAGAGACTTCTTCTGAAACCAGACCACACCCTTCAAATTAATGACACAAACGTTTAGAGAGAAGGCAAGGACAATAGCAGATTTTGTCTTCTGGATCAAAATGTCATAGTCGACTGTGAATAGAAATCCTGACCTTCTCTTTCTCTGCCCCTCTGCAGTACAGAATTAATCAGTCGATCCCATCACCCCCTGCCCTGGACCACAGAGCAACTTGAAAGTCACTTCCAGAGGATCAAATTGTGTTTGGGTCAGTTCTGCCTGCCTGCTTCTCCTCAGGATTGCCAGTACCTGGGGTGGAGCCAGACACACAGCAGGAAGGTAGTAGAAGATAACTAAGTGAGACAGGGCCTACATCAGGTTAACAAGAGCCCAGTTCCCTAGGGGGTGCCTCCACATTGGCTAGAGATAGATATATTCAAACCCTTAAAACTCACAAGACTTGAAAGCTCTCATTCCATGTATCCTGATTATGAACAACTCAAGAATTCAATTCCCCAAAGACCAGTCTAAACCATGCATAATGAAGGAGGAGTAAAAATCCAGAGGAAGGTCCTAGAAGACAGATGGGACCCCCCAGAAACACTATGAGGTCCAGTTCTCTGGAACTGGAACAGACTGTCTTCCACAAGCATTAAAAAGTACCGATGAACCTATTTTCAGGGCAGCGATGGTGATGCAGACACAGAGAAGTCTAGTGGGCACAGTGGGGGAAGGAGAGGGTGAGATGAATTGAAAAAAACAGCATGGAAACATATATATTACTCTATGTAAAACAGACAGCCAGTGGGAATTTGCTGTGTGACACAGGTTTAAGCTCAACCTAGTGCTCCATGACAATCTAGAAGGGTGGAATGGGGTGGAAGATGGGAGGGAGGTTCAAGAGGGAGGCTGCATATGTACACCTGTGGCTGACCCATGTTGATATATGGCAGAAAACAACACAATACTGTAAAGCAATTACCCTCCAATTAAAAAAAAATAAAAAAAACTACAGTCTACTATAGTGATAAAAAAATATGTATATAATCTAGGACAAAGCCACCAAATCTTTTATCCCTTTGGATAGAATAAATGGTTTTCTACATCACACGGGAGAATTTTAAGAGCTTTGGGTCTGTGGAAGTGGGACAAGGTATAAAATAAAGAAATCCTCAAAGGCTTTAATGTGGCTGCTTCTGGATGAAGGGGGAGCAGAGTGACCCTTTCCTGTCAGCCAGTGGTTCCAGAAATGGGGTCTCTGGACTGGCAGCAGCATCACCTCCCAGCTTGTGAGCAAGTCCCACCCAGGACCAGCTGAACCCCAAATTCTAGCTGACTTGTCCAGCAATGTGGGTTGCTGCGAGGCAACCTGGTGACTGCGAGGCAGACTGAAGTTTGAGAATAGGTGACATAAGACTTTACTTGGCAGTGAGTGACTTGGAGCCAAGAGCCTGACCCAGGGCCACAGACTTAGGTGACCTAAAAAAGGTAAGGAATGACTCAGCTGAGCTGCTGAGTGTGGCCAGGGCTGCACAAGAGATGGCTGAGGGCATATCCAGGCATAGGGGATTTCAAAGTTGGTCCTACCCTACCCTGGGCATCCTCTCTTCACCACCAACCCTCTCCTGATGCCCGTCAGAACTTGACCTGCTATGGTGTCCTCTCAGGCTCCCAATCTATTATTAGTTCCAATCCGCTCAAATCCACCAGTGCCAAAGGGAAGCTTTAGAGAACTTTCGAAGGCTGGTTAACTGTTTCACAGCAGCCGCGGGCCCAAGCAATTGTGTGAGCCGTTAGACACAGCCACACGCTTCCCAGAGCGTCAGGGCTGGCGCGAGCTGGGCACCCCTCAGTCCAGCCTGGCCCCTTGGCCGGACGGCAGAACTCAGGTCGGCGAGCAGCCGTCCCAACCTAAGTCCCCCAAGGCCAAGGTGGTGATGGATTTTTTTTTTTTTAAAGCTGTTTGTGCACTTCAGGAGCTTCGCCCCTTTCACTTGGGGCTTGAGCACAATTGCACTGGCCTAATTAACTCCTCTTCTTTCCGGTCCAAAGTGGAAGCCGCGGCACAGGGATGCAAATCAAATCCAAACCCGCTTTGGGCGCCGGTACTCTGGACAATTAAAACAAAGAGCTCGGCGGCGGCGGCGGCGGTGCCGGCCGGGCACAAAACCCTCGGGAAGCATCCAGAACGTGCCGCGAACCAGCTGGCAGGGTGGGGCACAACCCGGGCTAAAACTGTGCGGGCAGGGAGGCGGCCCCGCCCCTGCAGGTGGGCAGGCGGAGGTTGGCAGGGGTCAAAATCCATCCTTAAAGAAGGAAGCTGGGCCGCTGCGAGGCGCGACTCCAGGGGGCACACTCGCCCTGCGCCGGGCGGGAATGGCGCCCTCGTCAAAAAAGCCACCAAACAAAAACCCACTGCACGGGCGGGAACTGGGCTGCGCGACCCGCCGGAGGAGTGGGTGGGAGAGACGAGATGCGCAGGAAAGAGAGAGAATGAGAAGAAGAGGAAGGGGAGAGAGGAAGCGGATAGGGAGAGAAGGGAGAAAGTGGGGGGAAAGGGGGGGTTAGGAAGAGAGAGAAGAGAGTGAGAGAATTGGGGAGAGGGGAAAATGGGAAACGGAGGGAGGGGAGAGGGATCGCGGAGAGAAAGAGTGCGGAAGGAGGGCGGGCGGGGGGGGGGAGTGGTTGGGGAGGATAGGAAAGAAAGGCAAAGCGGAGCGGGCCGGGAACTGGGGGCGGCGGCCAGGGGGCGGGGCTGGGGTCGGTCCCCACCTGCGGGGGCGCGGGCTGCCCCCTGGGGTGGATGCCCCTGGGCCGCAGGGAGCGGCCGGGAGGCGGGCTGGGCTGGGAGCGCAGGGGAGGGAGGGAGGAACGTGGACTGGGAGGCGGGGAGGAGCCGGCGCTCGGCTGGGGCTGCGGGGGCGGCGACGGCGGGAGCGGCAGTGGAGGCGGCGGCGGGTCCGGCGGCAGGTGGCCCCGCGCGCGGCGGCCGCCCGGCCGGGGGCGGGCGGGAAGGTGGCGCCTCGGGCGGGGGCCGGTCCCTGCACCAGGTGACCTGTTCCGGCCCGGATCCGGGCGGCCTGGCCATGCAGCGGCGCGGCGCGGGGCGCGGGTGGCTACGGCGGCGGCAGCAGCAACCCCCGCCGCCCGCGGTCGGCCCCCGGGCCGCAGCTATGGCACCCCCGAGCGGCGGCTTCCCCCCGGGCCTCGGCGGGCGCCCTGCCTGCGCGCTGCTCCTGCTCTGCTACCTGGTGAGCGCCGGACCCTGCCCGGGTCCTCCCCTCCACTCGGGGCCCCGGGGACGCGGGTGGGGGCGACCGGGGACCTCCGCCTCGCCGGCGGGTACGGCGCGGCTAGTTTTGTCTCTACCTCGCCGCCGCACCCCGGGCGCTCCCGGCACCTGGGATGGGAACCCGGGGCGTGGAGAGGGGTGCGTGGACCGGACTTGTGGCGCTGCACTCTCGCCGGGATCCGTTTCTCTGCTTCTGAGACCCGCTCTAGACCTGAGTCAGGTTCCTCTGGAGACCCGCTCCTGTTCCCCACTTCACCTGGGAGCCTCGCTCCCCGCGTTTCCTCCCTCCCTGCAGCGCGCGGCTCTCCCGCCCCCTCCCCGCCGGTCCTGGGCTTCCCTGACAGTCTTCTCGCGGCTCCTTTCCTTCCCGGACCCAACTTCGCCTCTTGCTCTCCGCCAAAGCCACCCGCCTCGACCCTCCTTTTAGTTTCCACCCGGTCCTCGTGGCCCGGACCGTTTTGTGCGGACGCCCCGGGCGAGGAGCCTGGTATTTCCAGCTCTCAACTCCTCCATGGTCACTCCGGCCAAGTTGCGGATGCCAGAGAGAAATCTAGTTCTTTGTAACACGCTTAGCGCCAGAGTGGAGACTTCAGCTGCGTCTTGAGCATAATTTCAGAGAACACGCTTGGCTCATGCATGTTCCGTTCACAATTTGCACACTTCTTGGCTTCGGCTTTAGTCAGCAACTAAATGGCGGTAACCTATTATTCAAAACCAACTCATTTAAAATATCAGAGTAATTTAGACCTCAGAACAAGGTGGGGAAATATTCCTCAATTCCTTCGGTAGCTTGCTTTCTTCTGCTCTGAATTCTCCTAAACAATAGTAAATTGCAGGAGGGGACACCCTTTCTGTCCAGCCAGCCTACCTTATGTTCCGGGATCCTGCAGAAATCTTGGGTTATCTCGCCATATATTACTGTAAATAAATGAAATGGAAAATGCTGAATCACGAAACTGATGTAATAGGAAATTCACAGAATACTAAAAAGAAAAAAAAATGAGCAGTGTCATTGTCCAGAATTATTTTCATTTATGTGGCATTGTCATTATTCAGAGACTTTTCTTTTTGGAGGATGAGACTGCTTAAGAACTGGCAGGAATTAGAATTTGATTCCAGAGAAACTTGCCACCCAGCCCAAGTTTCTTTTGATACTCTTTTACTTCTTGGATGTTTCACTCCCTGAAGCAAGAGGATGTAAGGATGCAAGTTGTAATTCTGCTTTAGTATCTACCTGTTGAGCAGCCCATGTTTTCCCTCATATTATAAAATAAGCCAGTACCAGGTTTTGTGGTTGGCTTTAGTTCATGTTTTTATAAGAAGTTGTCAGTTGACATGAATGATTTTTTTTTCACCCAGGAGATATTATTATTTAATATTTATGCCACAGGGTTATAGCACACAGGCTCATAAATAAAACTGCCATAACAAATGACAGGGTTTCAGTTTAAACGGATGATTCCTGTCCACAATGCCCTGCTTACCCACAGAGGCAGAAATGATGTAGTAGAGCAGTGTGTGGAACATTAGTGTCGAGTGATCAGGAAAGTTCCACGTGGAAATCCCAAGACCTGGCAAGGAGAGACTGCTTCTTGACAGTTACAAGAAATCAAAAAAAGACAAGAGCAATAAAAGCCTAAGTGGTCCACAGGAACAGAGACAGATGATGGAGCAAGTGTAAAAGTTCTCTGGACCAAGGGGGATTTGACAGAACCCATCACAGAGAGGAGAAAAATGATGTTATGAACAGACTATGATGAGTTAGTGAAGTGGTAAGGTAGGGCTCCAAAAAGAAAGATTATAGAAAATACTGTAAGGTGGAAAATAACTGGAGCATGGATGAATGTCTTGGCAGACAAAGAAGGAATGAATTTTGGAATTATCTTGGAAAGGGAAATGTCAGTGCTTCCTGACTGTCTGTGCTTCCTTCAGATGAGCTTCAGATATGTTACTGTGAAAGAAAAATGACTTGAATAAACAAGAAAGCCATTTTGCAATTGAATGAGAAAGTTTTGCAAAACCCAGAGAAGCAGAAGTGTGACTTGGAAGGTGGGCTTAACCTTTTGTTTTAAAGGTCTAGCCTTTGGCTAGAGATTTTGCTCTAGAGGTTTGTACTACCAGAGAAACTGGTGAAAGGTAACCCCTCTTGACCTTGGAGAAATTCAGTTGCAAATTGGGGAAAATGTAAAACAGCTGCATGAAAAACATGAAACAACTGAGAAAATGCCTAATTGTGTGCATCTCGTATATCTAGGGATACTTCCTAGAGAAAGTGATTGGTCAGGACAGAGAGGTGGACAGGTGGAGGGTAGAGAGCAGAATAGCTAAGCAGAACCTCAGAAATATGTAGACACTGGAGGAAGAAAGCTATCCCGTAATTTGGAAACCTAAATAATAATAATAATATTACCACTACTAGTAGTTTGCATTGTGATAGGTTATTTATATGCATTATCCAAAATTAATCTTAACAATAACCTTGTGAGGTAGGAGCTAGTATGATCCCTATTTAGATGAGTTAACTAGGGCTCAGAGAGATCATGTTAGTTGCCCTGGGACACACAGGTGGTCCAAGGTGGAAACCCAAGTCTGTCTCCTTTCAGAGCCCCAGCTCTAGCCATTGGCTTCTAGCTTATTGTCTTCTGGATTTTGCTGCTTGTAACCCATTCCCCTCATTCATGGATGTATGGCCCATTAGCAAAGTCCTCAAAATTAGCAGCTACTGTGAAATGGGCCAGGATGTGAGGTCATGTCTAAAGTAGCTTAAAATATACAAAGCAGGAAGCCCAGCCACAGAGTAGAAGCAGAATGCTAAAGAGAGGGAGAAAAAAAAAAAAAAAGATAAAGTCAGGAGATATTTGCCATCGCAGTGGAGAGGTAAAGGATGGAGTCCTTGTACAGTCCAGAGGCAGCTGGCCCACTTCAGCCATTGAGACTGTATAGACATGTGTCCGCGAGTATAGCCAAATGTGCCTTGGAGTGTATTCCAAAGACAAACTGTCGGTGATCTGGGGACCGATTCCTCTTTTGTGTCATCCTTACCTACATGCTTGTTTACAAGGGCTGAAGGTTCAGAGTAGGTTTCTAAACAGATGCCTTTAAGCTCCTGCCCTCATGGGGGACATGCTTCCTGGAGCCAGGGTCCTGAGGTGATGGGCACATTCGTCTTCCACTGGCTGGGGCAGAATTACCTTCAGGAGCAGCCCAAGAACAGTACTGTGACTGTAGCTAGGATACTGCCAAAGCATGAATAATTGTGACGAGGCCTGAAAGATAAGTCACGGAACGATGCCAAGCAGATTTCTGAAAAGATGATCCCTGGTTCCAGCAGCTGCCAAAAACATTCTGAGGTCGCCGAAGGTCAAGATGCAGAGAGCCTCCTCAGAGAGGATGGGGACCTTGAAAACAAAAGGTAATGGAAACCACTTCCACTGGGGTCATGGGTGCTGACTGGTGTGGTCCATGGAAGTCTTGCTCAGCCTCACAGACCCCCTTGCCAGTCTCGGTCGTCGTTAACTCTTACTTTCCTCCAGACGTGACTAGAATGACCTGAGGCTGCCCAGCCCCGTCTGTGACAATGGCACTTGTAGAAGGCAGTTCTGTCTGTTCCAAACTCTAGTCTCGAATGTATAGTTGTTTTTCTTAAATGGGAAAACCAATCTCACACCGGCTGGCGTTGGTGTCACCTGTAGAGCTGAAATATTCCGAGTGGACATTTGCACTTGTGAGACAACCAGAGGACAAAGAAACAAAAGGCCGTTAGCGTCACAGACGTACGTGGGCCTCATTAGCAGACGGTGACTGTGACAGAGTCGGTACAGAATTCTCCGTAAGCGGCCACAGACCATCAGTTATCCCTTTAGAAGTATTCATTAATTCCTTGCTTTGTGTAACACAGGACCTAGGAAGTTCAAAACAAGGTATAGAGGCCCTCGATTATCCAGTTTGTGCAAGTAATTACGGATTGTCTGAAACGCACAGACTGTCCTCAAACTTCACATCAGCCAATAGCTTCCGCGTACATCCCAGCCACAGCCCCTAAAAGCTCCCAAATGGTGGTGTTTGCCTCCTGCTTTCTCTTCCTGCTGGTTGCCTGTTGGCAACAGTGTAGGAGCCGCTAGTTGGCTGAAAGAAGCAGCTGGAGGGAAGGTAGAAGAGAAGGTACGAAAAACCCAGGCAGTTTATGGAGAAGATGGATAGGCTGGAGTAGACCATAGCCTGAAGCAAATTCAGTTACCCTGTGTTTTGCTCACCCCATTGCCTGGGGAAAGGGACGGAGGGGCAGCAGGGCATGCAGGATGAAGAACTGCTGAGGATTTTCTACTTTGGCAGCTTAGTGTTGGTTTCCTAGCTTCACCTGAAGAAGGGCTGATCCAGCCTGGGGAGTCGGCTCAGTGCAGCGTGTGTGTTTGTGAGTAAGATGATGTCTCCCCTCCCCAGACGTAATGCATGCATGGTGATCTGATGGCAGTTTAACCTCTCACCCCCCACTTTTAAGATGAGAGTGAGCCAAGTCCCAAGACTTCTGTCACCCCAGAAGGTGGTGACAGGCATAGAAGTAAGTGAGCATATTAAGGGCATCATTTTGAGTGTTTCTGTGCGGCAGGAGGCACAGGCTTTGGAGTCAGCAGTTATGGATTTGAATTTTGGTTCTGCTTTTCAGTAGCTGGTTGCTCTTCGGCGAGTTATTTACCCTGTCTGGATCCATTCTATTTCCTCTGCTGTTAACTGGAATGCTGTGTCCCTCATGGAGCTGCTGTGAGGTTAGAGGGGATACGTTCTGTCCAGCTCAGTGTGAGAGGATGACGTTAGAAGTGAATGAGAAGACTTAACTGCATTTGTCCCAGTGTCCACCACATAGCAGGTACTCAATGGAATGAAACTGAACCAACTTTGGTTAACCTCCTGTAATGTGTGTTATAAAGAAATAGCATATCAAACAATTTTAGATGGGAGAGA